CAAACTTGATTTTTTCTAAAACAAACAATGCGAAAATAGTCCCATTAACTATTTTTGATGTTTTATCAATATTATTATTTTTAGTACACTAAAAAATAATTTTACAAAAGAAAGAAAGATGTATTGACATATTTCATGTATAATTATTTATGATTATGAATATTTATGCGTGTTTATGTATGTTTATACATATTTATACATATTAATGTATAAAAAATTTTTTACCGGGATGGTCAAATTTTTTCTTTTTTCTTTTTTTTTTGTTGTTGTTCGTATCAAATTTAATTTTTAACTTTTCAATTAGTTTTTTTATTAATTTAATTTTTAATTCAATTAATTTCATTATGGATTAACTTGTATTTTAATTAAGTTAAATTTTCAAAGCTGTGAATTTTAACTTAACTTAGTTAAAAAAAAAAAATTAATTTACTCAATCTTGACCTCAGGTATACTGTGCAAGAAAATTTCAGAAATTAGTGCGTAGACTTCTGACAGTTCACCAACTAGTTTGGAAATATTTAGAAATAAAGTACTAAAAATTTTCAGATCCTTTATTTTCTCTAAGAAAATATGGTCACTGTAGCTATTTACCAGATTTGTCAGATAGTTTTGCACGATGGAAACGGAATTATGCAGAATGACGGCGAGTTTAATAATAATCGCGGATTTTTGCGCATGAAGTCCTTTAGAAGTTTCATCAATCTTCTGAGACCTGCCAGAGCAAAGGTAGTATTCCATGTTGAAATCATCAGCTTTGAACTTTCCACACCACCTCTAAATTGTGTAGAGCGTGATGCAGCATCTTCATACACAGAGGATATCAATCAAGGTCTGTAAAGCCGTGAAGTTACGCTGGAAGCAATACAGGATCATTTGCAAAAGTCCTTTTGATTCTTCATTTTTCCACCCAACATGTTCAGTCGTCACCTAATTTCTTACGGCTTTACGGACTCCTTAAAACAAGATTGTAGACCTATATGGCCATAGAAATAGAAAAAAATATAAGCATTAAGATTTCAATCTACTAGAAATCGTATAGTCCGATGAAATTAATTTCTGAGATAGATTGAAATCTTAATACTTACTCCTGTTCGTAATATTTCTTCTATTATGCACAGCCTCTTATTTTTAAGGACTCTAACACAAAATCGCTTGGACCACTTGGAGCACTTCGTGCTCATTGATTGCTTACCACGGCAAAGCAGAGCACAAAATTTGAAACGAATTTTCCAAGCCTAATATAATTAGAGTCACCAATAAGATATTATTAAAGACGGCTGGCCTTAAGGATCTTTTACTGCTTTAATCTAGTTACTTTTATACTTTAATGTAATAATTTTTTTCTCTTTAAGATAAATTTTGTTTTATTTCTCTAAACGCTAATATTTTTTTCTATAAAATTTTAAATATTAAAAGAATTAGAATTCAGACAATAGCTCAATAATTAGGTACATTGAGTACAACCGCTGTAGTAAGTTTTAAGCTGTAATATATTGGCTAATCACAGTTAGATATGAAGAGAATAATCGATTGTGATTGTTGGATTTTTTAAGGCTTATTAAGGCTTACTACACCTATTCTGTCCATAGACACCGACTTGCGAAAAATATCGGGGGGAGGCATCAAGAAATATTAGGGGGAACACAACGTCCACTTTTTTGCGGTGCTACTGATAGAAATAAATCATTGAAATAACTAAAATCTATCGAATTAGTAAAAATTTTAACGATTTTAACGATTCTTTTTCCATCAAGAGTATTGCAAAAAAAATGAATAATGTTGTGTAGTTGACATCCACTTTTTCAGAAGACTGTAGTGCACAAGGTATTTTGCGGTTACAGGAAAAAGGCACTCATATCCTCTCTCAGGTTTCTCTCTGGTACGTGTATATATATGTGCAGGTACACTAGGGATTCCTTCCAGAGGTATATTCGGATTCCCACCTGGGTGCTCCCCGGGTGTCATGTCATCCTTGTTGTTTAACAAACATTAAACAAGGATGAAATGACATCCGAGGAGCACTCTAATGGAAATCAAAACACGCCTCAACAAGCGACTCACAATCAGTATAACACAATAATTATCTCATCCTTGTTTAACACTGGCGAACAACAAAGAATGTAATGATACACTGTGTCATTACACCATCTCTTTTTGGAAGGCACCCTAGGACAGCAGACGACGTGCCAGCGCGAGCATCACTACTTTTAATTCACCGCGTCAACGTTATGTATAACATATGTTTGTTAAAAAACCAAAAGATACAAATTATTAAGGGGGCATTGCCCTCCCCCAATAAAATTATTGGGGGGGCAAAATGTGGTCTGCCTCCCTGTAGTCGGCGCTTATGATTGTGTCTTCAGACTTACCAACTTATTATCTTCTGGATGCTTGATTGATTGTTTCTTGGTAAGTGAGGCTGGCATGAAGTCTTCTTCTCGAAAAGCAAAGGGATTCTGAGGGAAAATTCCTGTATCTCTAAACGCTTTAATTGCTTCGTCAATAGATGTAGCCTTGTGATAAGCTGTGCAAAAAATCTCTCCTATTTGATAAATTGTTATCAATCGACCAGAGGGCTGCAATATCAATCGATCACATTCTTCTGCCATGAACTTTTTTAGTGATCCAAAAAAGACTATTTCAAGTGGTTGTAGTTTATGACTAGCGTATGGAGGTAAAACTAATAAAATGATGCCATTCTCTTGACAATAATTAATTGCTGGCAAACTGCAATGAGATATATGATTGTCCAATACGAGTAATACTGGTCTATCTCGAGATGCCGTCACATATTTTGTAAAGTGTTTTAACCAGGTTACGAATAGTTCTGAATTTATAGAGCCAGAATCAGATGTCATACCTAAAGTATTCGGTGGTGCTCTCTTACAAAATTCTGGCTTAAACTTTTTTCGAGGAAAGATTAGAGCAGGTGGAACATAGTAGCCAGCGGCACTCATACAACATACTGCAGTTAGTGACAGTATACGACTTTGAGACACTATTTTTGATCCTAAACATTTACATTCAGATAACACTATTTTTGGAAATTTATTAAAGATTGTTGATATGTTACTTTCATCCATATTATAGATACGACTGGCATTAAGTTCAGGATTTTCTTCTAGAATTCTTTTTAGATTGTCATGGAACTTTTCAAAGTGAATCTTACTGAACCTAATGACACTTCCTGAACACTTCTCTGGCCGTTGTAAAGTTAATCTATATTTCACAGACAAGTCTCTGATCCATTTTTCTCGTACCATTTGTTTTTCATGGTTAAAATTATGGGAAATATTGTTATGTTCAGCATATTGATACACAATGTCCATTAACTGTTTTTTTGACACTCCATAAAATGTATCATCTATGATTTTTACCCATTTGACCAAAGCTTCCTCCTCTTCTGTTGAAAAGCTTGATTTTAATCTGTCTAAATTTAATGGCACTGTCCCCTGAAAAGGAGATAGCATAAAGTTTCATCTAAATATCCTAATCTAGTTGCCTAAGCCTAAGCGAAGATAATTAATAATTTAGTACAAAAACAAGCCTATGGAAATAAAATGAACTCACTTCTTTTAATCTCTTTCGTAATGTTGCTTCACATGCTCCCACGACTTGAACTGCAGCTTTTACACTATTGCCTGCAGCAATATGTTCTTTGGCCTGTGTCATTTGCTCCCAAGTAAATTGCTTTCTATCACTTTTCTGTTGATATCTTGATAACATCGTGTCTAAATTATTAAAGTCATGTTACTAATAGTTGGTGTTTGCTGGATCAAAAGGTTTGTTCTTTTTCGAAGACAGTTCTGAACTGATAGTATACTCTAATAACATTTTTAATGTACTGACTCCAAATCTATGATCTTTTTAGTTGCATTTCTTGCATAATTTAACTGTTTAACTCTTCTTTCGCAGCTCTTGCTTATTCTGTAATAGTGGAAAGCGTAGTTGTAAGCAGAATTGATCAATCAAGTCGATTACATAAAGAATATTCGATTGTAATTAGTTAATTCTTACAAGTACAACTACTTAGAACAACGTTTATGGCTATTGTAGAACAGGTATAAAAACAATTACCCTTTATATGAATTGAAATTAGATCTAACATTTTTAAAGCAAAGAATTTGTTTTTAAAGTAGAGAATAGTATTCTAAAGAATTGTTATTTTACCCTTTACTATTATTTTTCTGTTATGTTCTCTCCTGTTATCCCTTTTCTGTTATGTTTATGCAGAGATAGAAGATAAAATTAAAATAATTAATAAGATATTGGTAAGATTTTTCTATTATATATTGATGTATAAGATTATTATTATTATAAAACTCGATATCAGATTAAGGAGGTTCTTGCGTTTGATGAATCTATAATATACATGTAATATAAAAGTTAATAATATCAATATCTAGAAAAAATTTCATTGACTTTTACCATTTTGAAGATATTTAATTCTAAATTTATAGAATTTTACATTACAAGTTGAAAGTATAACCTTATTCTGTAGTTATTCTTTTTTAAATTGAGACACTTGCGTATAAGACAGCAATTTAAAAATCGTTATAATTATAAAGTAAACATTTAAGTTTGTTCTCGCAAAGTTTCATTTAAACTAACCGTACAGTTTACAAGAAATTTATATTCTTCAATGAAAAAAGCTAGAATATATGTCAAATGGACGATGTGTATACATCAAACGAGCATCTTACAACTTTTATTGTGTCATTTTGAAAATGTTTAGCAACATATAAAATTAACAATAATTATGTATAATGGCATAAAATATTGTTAGTAATCTTTTTATTCCATTATTTTAATTGTTTTACATATTATTATGAACAAACCATCTATTGACTAGGAAGTAGCGCGAGAATCTCCTTAATAATAAATATTGTCTTTTTGTCTCGGAGTTTGCTATGTTCATTCTAGAGTTCATTGATTGTTCGATTAAACATTGTATCTTATCACATTAATTGAGCTATTATTTAACAATAAAATCATTATTTACTTTGAATATAAAACTTCGATGTTAATTAATTTACAATGTAGATTAGATTGATACAAAAATTCGAAAGGAAATAGAGCTACGAGCCAAAGGTTAATCATTGTGAGTTAAATTATTAATATAAATATCATAATAATAAAAAACACTTTAATGTCTGCTATAAACAATGAGTGATAAATTAAAGACAAATAAAGAACAAAGAACAGACGTTTCCTTATCGGATCCTTATCAATGTTGAAATAAAATTAAATTAAAATTATACTACAATCTCATGTTAACAATGACATAATTGAAGCATGGTGCAATGGAAAACGGTAATACAATGTTCCTCCATATAAATGCATGATTATAATTTCATCATTATAGTCATCATGATTATAATGTCATCATTAGTCTGTACTGAGACAATATCAGATTGATATAAATCTTGAACAGTTAACAACAGTGGCGTACTTTACTCGTTTCAAATTTAGCGGCGTGCGTCGCCACGCGCATGCGCATGTGATCAAAATATTCGTACATAGCTCTGTATCTCGTCAGTCTGACAGTTTTCCTAACCTAAAAAAAGTCAACTTTAACGCTTGATATCCCGGTTCACGGGACAGAACGACGCTTTTCTTTGCCAGATTCTTTCGTTTCGAGCAAAAACGCGTCGAATGAGCCTAATTTCATCAAGATTGGAGATGCAGTTCGTATTCTGAATAATTACCGTTTCTTACAAAACTACAATAACAATTACGTTTCCAACTGTTGTAGAACATAAAAAGAACATCTTAATTCTTATTTATATAAAAGAACGTCGACTCAAAGTCGGATCGAATCAACAAATAAAAAACGCTATAATACAACAAGAAAATGGTTAAAAGCAGTTAAAATTTAAAATACCTCCTTAATCGCCGCAATAATCACCTTATCTTTTACATCGATTGTCTAATCAAAAGGACTCGCCGCATGTTTCAGTCAGTTACAGCCAGGGTTGGTAAAAAACATGTTTTAAACGTGTTTTTTTTTATAGTACTGTTTATTGGCTGCGTTCAGCAGACTCAACAGTTTTGCAACCGTTTTATGGCTACGTTTACACCGTGCGCTTAGTCCGCGACCTATACAATAGATGTCTTTGTTTAACTTCCAGGATAAACAAGGACATCTATTGTATAGGCCGCGGACTAAGCATACGGTGTAAACGTAGCCTATATATATGCGACCTGACCTGTAATGCGACCAAAAATAGTACAAGATATGATATACGTCCATTACCAACGACATAACATACCTTGATCAAAAAGTTCCCGAAATTACCACCAGGTGATGCTCTGAGTCAGCTGATTTGAGTTCTGTTTTTTTGGTTAGGTTGCCACAT